ATCTGTGTGTGTGTACACACACACACACACACACGCACACATATAAAATCAGCTGAAACAGTTTTGCCGTTTCCAAGAATAAGGGTAGAAACCATATGTTGTTTAGCTTCTGTTAAAAATTCTGGCAACTTTTTCTTTGACTATCTTGAGCATGCTCATGCTTTGGAGCAGAGACTCAAAATATGCCAGAGATGTACCCTTCCTATAAGGGATGTGCTTTTTTCCATCCTTGTGAAAATCCTCCCAAATTTAGTCACAAAATCATCATTCACGTGTTGAGTAGAGAGCTGCTAGGCCTTTACTGCTGATTTCCCAGAAGATGCCATCCATGCTGAGCAGAACTTCTTGGCGACTGCAGCTCTGGGCTGCTGAAGGTTGGGGACTGAGACTGAGAGAAGGAGTGTCCTATCTGTGTCTCACTGCTGGCCTCCCTGCTTCTTGGCCCAGGAAGCACGTAGGAGGGAGCTATCTGATTTAGATGCAGACGGGACAAGGACTGGACCTGAAGGGGTGTGGGTGCTTGGAGTATATTCAGACAAGAAGCCTGGAAAAGGTGTCTGTGGCAGTCACTGATTAAGGGAGCCTGATTCATCCCTAGAGCATGTTCATCCTTTGCAATGAATGAAAGTGGGATCCTTTGGAAAACATATAATATGATTGCATCATTAAAGACAAATTCATCCATCCCTGCTCCGGTGAGTATTTGATGTAATTCATCCAATGACAGTTTGATTTAAAATACAGAAATACACTCTTTCTGGGGCTGGGATCCAAAACTCCATTTCTCCCCACTTAGGCGAGAAGCCTAATCTAGTTGTGCTCACCCTCCCACCTGCAGGCCAGATCCAGATCCTGGAGCAATGTCAACCTGCCCATGGGGCTCACCTTCGGTCTTGAAATTTGGTGGCAGGGGAGCGGTGGCAGCGTTAATTGCTGTTCCCCTGCTGCCAAATTTCTGGACCCACGAGGAGCTCTGCCAGCTGGATAATGTGGCCAGGTGTGCTACTTCACAGCAATGTGCTGCCAGATCTGGGTGCGTGGGGTGACTGCAGCCAAATCCAGGTGTACGGGATCTGGATCAGGCCAGCACTCAGCTGGATGCAGCGCTCAGGGTCAGGTTTGCATGTGACTAGATCCAGCCCACTGGGTCAGGCCAGTGTGCTGCTGGATCCAGTGTTTGGGGTCGAGCCGGCATGATGGATTGCCAGCCCTACGCAGGATCTGGCCTGTGGACTGACCCCACACCACTCATCCAGCTCACAGAGTCAGAAGTTTAGGCACTACTGCCCCAGTTGTTAGGATTAAAACTGATGCTCACTCCTGCTCTCTCTTGGGCTCAATGACCATGTCATTCCTTTTTGCAAAGTGGAAAAGCTTCAACAGCAGGGGTAGTAAGCTGGCATTGGTGGCAATCCCTTAGTTTAAGGATGATCTCTACCACAGCTGATTTAAGAGTCCAATCCTTGAGCTACAGCTCTGTCTGCAGAAGTTGCAGGTCTTTCTGCAGGGGAGAGTAGGATGTAGGCTATGATTTCTCTCCTTTTCCTTCCTTTGTTCTCTCTTCTCTGCTTGGAGGAAAAAATGCTTTACCTCGACATGGGCTGTTACTTGATTGAGGTTGTAGTGCCATTGGAGTTAGTTAATAACCAGCTCCTTCTAGCTCTTGATGTTGGCATCCATTTTCTGGAGGTATCTCTTCAACATGTCCTTATAGCATTTCCTCTGGCCACCGGGAGATCTCAGACCATTGCTAAGTTGGGAGTAGAGCACTTGTTTTGGGGCTAGCAGGTATCACCCACCTAGAACAGCTTAGAGCTAGGTGGTTAGGGCACTCTCTCGGGACACTGGGGGTCATGGGTCTGTACTCCCTTGGGCTGGAAAGGGCCCAGAAGGCAGATTTCACCTCCTCAGAATATGCTCTAGCCACTGAGTTGCTGGGTTAGGTCTTAGAAGAAAAGGGTGGCTCATGTCCCACAGGGGCTGATCCAATCAGTGTGTCACACTGTCTGAATCAAGGCCCTCTAATGAAACAGGTGGAGGAAGACCTTCAAGGATCCCAGTGGGGCTCAGAGAGTTAGGGACTTATGGGCCCGTGCAGAAGCAAAGTTTTAGGAGCCTGGGTACTCGAGGCCCCAGCCACACGTTTAAATTAAAATTGGATAGAAACCAGCTATGGAGCTGCTACACATTTTCAGGCACTAACTTTATACCAGGTTGGCTCTTTTTGGAGCTGGATAGATATCTTAATTGTGTGTTAAAAATTCTGCATGTGTGGCTGGTCTACATTTATTGTGTGATTCATCAGTCCATTGCATGAGATATAGAGAGAGGGTCAGAGAGGCCAACCAAACTGCCCCAGGGAAACCTGCCTGAGGAAGGCAGAAACAATTGACTGCCTCCTTTGGTGCTGCCCATATACCAAGGGGATGTGTAAGAAAGTAATCTTACTCCTCATGATGGTGACAGAGGTCAAGACCATGACCAGAGAGGCGGTACTGTTCAGGCACTTGTCCAAGCAGCAGGGAACTCCAACAAACCACTTCAATCAGATCATCTCCTGCTTCAGGAACACCCCATGGAAGACGAGGAACCTGCTCACGTACAGGTCAGCAAACGTCCCAGTCAAAGACGATGTCAAAATGGGAAAGACTGAATGAGATGCAGGGGTACTACAGAAAGTCAGTAGAAGACACTGGGGAGGAGATGGTGGAGATAACATCAAAAAGAAAAAACTGGCACAGACTGTTTGGAGGCAGCACGACCAATGAGAACACCCGTGGTGATGGAGATGACCGTGATGATGACAACGATGACAGCGACAAGTAAAAGAACTGGGGAATCAGGAGGGGAGTTGGGAGAAGATTGAGTGGGAAGGGGGTTCGGAGACAGTCCTTTGCATAATTGTGATGGTCAAGGGGATGGTGGTGGCACGTGGGTGCAGGGGCAGGTGGATGCATGGTGTGGTTATTGTAACAGGAAGCTGATGATAGTGTAATGGTGTCTGTGTGTTAAGGACTGTCAAGTGAACCGGACCAGTCACAAGACAAGGCTGTTAAAGTAGAGGTGTATATATAAATATATATATACATATATAGATATGTATACATGGAGATAGATATAGATATAGGTATCTCTCTCTTTATATATGTATGTGTACACACATGCACGCGTGCGCGCGCACACACACACACACACACACACACGTATATCTATATACAGGTTTCCTTACTTTATGCAGGTTCGGTATGCATCAATTCATTCTTATGCGATGACCCTTTTTATACCAAAAACTCATTATATGCAAAGTAAATTCATTCTTATGCAATTGGTGTGGCAGAAGCCCGCAGTCAGCTGCTTTGTGCAGTGCATTGTGGGAGTGACACACACCAAAATAGTTTCCTGTGTGGATCTGTGCTCCTTGCTCGTTGTCTGCGACACATGTTTCTATAGTTGCCATCCCCGTTATGATACTGCCCTGTGCTTGTGTGCACTGTCTGCTGTTGGTGAGTACCAAAATTGTCTCATAAAAGTGGCAGACATGGGTCTGGGGGTCAGTACAGTTGAGGTCTTGGAACGTATCCCTATTTGCTACACTGTAAAGTGGGTTCCCTTTATCTGAATTTGAGTTACTTGCCATTTTCCCGGAATGCATATACAGCATAAAGCAAGGGAAACCTGTACACACACACTTATCTATATCTACGTCGGGGGTCGGACTCGATGATCCACCGAGGTCCCTTCTGACCCAAACATCTATGAATATCTATATCCGTATACCTCTAATTTAACACTTTCATATATCCCTCTATATTTATAAATAGACATATATAGGTATCTATATCTATATCTATATCTATACATACTGACATATCTATCTAAAGATACCTATCTCTGTATTATAATTATATATATATATATATATATATATAAAATTATAATTATAGATAGATACCTTTTATATATAGAGAAAAGTGTGTGTGTCTATATAGTGTCTATAGGTGTGTGTGTCTATAGATACAATATATAGACACACACACCTACCTATCTCTCTCTATAATGTATCTATCTGTATATATAAGTACATTTTTCCAAAAATCAAATGCAGCGTGTACCAGGGGCCTTTGTGGCAGCAGCCGAGGTCCCTGTGGCCCCGAGGGGGCCATGGCTTGCGGCCAGGATGCCCGTGGGCGTGTGTCTGCCCCCCTCCCTGTAGGGTGCACCCCAGGGGCACCCCCAGCCCAGCTTTCTTCCAGCCCCTCCCCTCATAGGCAGGC